GATGCTTGAAGTACTTTCTTTAATACTCCCAAAAATGCTAGGTTGCGACTCCTGAAGTGGGCTATTGCCAGAGCAAATACCGAATATATCCCCTGACAGTACCAGAGGGTGGGACATTGATTGCTTCTGTTTACTAATAGCCGATAGTTTATTTAAAAGTGGTTTTTTGGCATACTGAGTGGACCTTTCTCTCTTACACTTTCGCATACAATGCTAAGTACAAATCTACTCTTCTTTAGTTTTTTTGAATTATGCCTTCTGTTTCACTGATTGTTGGTAGTGAACTAAACACATTCTCTATCTAGAAAGATGAAACTTGTGTGTTCTTCTGCAAAAATTATGTCCTGGAGAGACAAGTGGAAAGAGCTGGCTGACTTTACTTTGAACTTTTGCTGGGGTGGGGGGGAGGTCAGTCCTGTTTAAAGTATGTTAGGTACTTAGAAATGCACGGAGGTTTGAAACAACATTGCTGCTTAACTTCAGATAAAATAATGAGACTTAAGTTAACATCTTACAAAAAGAATTTGAAGCATGGTGGTAGCCATATAGCATTACTTTGGAGTACGTTATTGGTGTAGTGTCCATTTGAAAGCAATTGTAGCATCTCTTTAACTTTTTACTGACTGCCTGTTTTTGTGTAGGATTGATGGGTTTGTTTTAAAGAAGTATTGTTACTTGATAGCTTCTAGCTCTTTGCGTGGATTAGGAGTATTGGATGTTGCAGGTCACATTTTACCCCTATTTCTTTGGGCTTTTGACAGAACTGCGAAAACTAAACGTGTGGGGTCTTTGCTCCTAGGTTACCTTGCATCCTAGTGCTCAAGTCTCTTGCAAGGGACCACACCTTGCTTTCAAAGATGTAAGATTATCTAATGGTGCAGAGTGTATGTATGTGTCCAGGATGGATCTGTACAGACTCTGCTCTGAATACTGCAGCTATTATTAGATGCCTTCCTTGCCTTGGTTAGGCGTTGGGAAAAGAAATTTATTCCCAATTCCCACAATTAAGATAAGATCTTTTTTTTTTAATGGTGCCAAATAGCCTGGTGCTTTGTGGGAACACTGAGGAAGCCAATTCGGTGAAGTAACAAGGCTGGATGGCTGTTGCAAGATAGTAGCATTAGAACATCTTCCAAAAGCTACCTTTATTTGCATGTGAGCTGACTAACGTGTCTCACGTATATCGTAGAAATTCAACAAGACTATTTACAGAAGCTCTTTATATTTCTTTTTGCATAATCTAGATTCAAATTTCTTGTTTCATAATTAGCTCCACAGCATAGAAAATAGATATTTTTGTTCTTCCTGAAGTAGTTCAGATTATCCTAGTTACTGTTTATGATGCATGCCAGAAAGATAATGATTATGAAATTTGAAATACTGCAGAACTACTTAAAATAGTGGTGCAGTTCTTCAGGTCCACAAAAAACACGGTGTTTATGCATAATGTTTAGACACAGGTGCAAGGTTAAGTTTTTTCTCACTTCCTCACACCATGCTGATGTGCTGATGAGAGCATTCAAAACTCTTGCTTCCAGAACTCTGTATTTCCAAAATGGGTAGAGCCTTTGAAGATTGGTAAAAGTTAATAGTGGCACTGAGAAAGATCATCACAATTACCAGTTTCCTAAGGGGTGAAGGAGACTTGAAAAAGGCTTGCTCTTTTGCATTAAGCCTTTGTCTGTTTTTTGATTTCAGTTGTGTAGGTTGCAGGGAATGACTTTCTACAATCAGGTGTTACTCAGCTGCTACACTTCTCCATCTCATTACTGTATCTTTTAACCATGTCATAGACGAGCTGTTTAGTTTATTTTCACGCTTGTAATGTCGTCTTCATATGATTCCTGTTTTCCCCTTCTTTCCTGTTGTATAGATTCCTAAAGGAAAGTCCAACTGTTCATTTCCTAAAAACTCTACTTTGTAAGTCTTTGTCATGGCTTAATGAACTTTTCAGTGTCAGTTTTCTTCTGATCACTAATCGTGCTTGCCTCTGTCACTCCCTTGCTGCTGATAAATTGCTTGTATCTTTGACTCCATTCCAGGGCTAAGCAATGTTCTACCAATTTGTGACCTGTTAGCCCTACCCAGGTCCAATACGCTTGACTAAGATCCAAAGTAACTTACATGTTTGGGAATTGAGCTGCATACCTGGATGGATAGTAAGAATATTTGGGCATGAAAAGTACTTTCACAATCGCCTGTTACAGGAGTATTTGCTTAAGTGCGTTGGCTAGAGCATGCTCAGATCTTCTTTTAATCATCTTCCTGGGTTAGGGCCTCTGCTTTCCTCTCTTAAATGATCTGTTATGTAATTTTAAATGTAAATTTTTATTGTTGTTGAATGTCAGATGTCTTGTGTTCCTAGACCACCTCTTCCAAAATCTACCTTGTATTTTACCTGGTGATAATTCTGAATCTGGACATGCTCTGAGAAGGCATTCTGATTATATGCTGAAAGTCATTAGACTCATTTGATTGGATTTTATTGCGAATTAATTTTTTTGAATGGGTAGCTTTTGTTTATTGCCCTTGAGAGTACCATCTCACATGGTTAAGGATAATTGTAAAGAAAACATCTTTCAGTTTCTCTTACCAATTAACTTAATCGTGCATGTGTTCATGGCACTAGCTGAAGGACGTTGAACTTCTTCCTGTTGCAGTAGAAATTGGGCAAAGACGTGCAGAAGGCATTGCATGCAGCTCACCCAGGGGCAACTGAAGTATAACCAAACACTTATACGAGCGTCCTTGTGGATAGACTTCCATTTCACTGCATGTCGCAGCCTGGTTCTATAGGTCCAAACTGGCCGTTTTTCAAGAGAAATTAATTTCCACAAAATGTTTTCCTTTAATAACCTCAAGCCTAGGGTTTCTTGTCATCTTGGACTTGAAGTAGGGATGTTTTTTCATAGTTGTTTTGGTACCTTTAATACATGCCATCAGTGTTATTTTATAAAATTGAGTGCAGTACTTTGCTGTTTTGAGACTCGAGTGGACTTGGGCAGAAAAAAGTTTAATTTCTAAAAACTGTTTTGGTCTCATTTCTGTAGCTAGTGAATAATGTCCTTAGCGCTCTCTGGAGTAGAGATGAGGTTTTTGGGAAGGTATGTTGTGATTTAAGGATGTTGATCCGCAGCCATTCTGATGACTCTTGTCTTGGCTGTTCATCTCTTGATCAACAGGACTGAGCACATGCGCAGTCTCAAGTTTTCAGAAACAGTGGTTTGGTTTTTGTCCTTATGACAGAGTACGTCTTCTAACAGCCTGTGCTACAGTTCTGTGTGAAATGTGACAGGGTGACTATAAGGCTTAATTTCCATGGAAATGCTTCACTCCAGAACTGGCTGTTACGAGAGTGTGTGTGTCATTTATACAAGTGTGTGAGCGAGCGTGTGTACTTGCATGAAACTATTAATCTCTAGATGCTTGTTAAGCCATTCTGCGAGTCTCATTTTTAAAAGTTAACGTCTTCCTTACTTTTAAACACTTTCATAGGTGAAGAACAGAATAAAGAAGCGCTGCAGGATGTGGAAGATGAAAACCAGTGAGACACAAAGGCCAACAAGAGAACCCATCTCTGACCACCCTTCCCCTTCCCCACAAAAACCCTCAGTGTCACTCTGAGAACCACCAAATCTGACTTTTACATTGGGTCTCAGAATTTAGGTTCCTGCCCTGTTGGGTTTCTTTATTTTTATTTTTTTTACACAGTTTAAAAGTTCTTAAAGGCAAGAGTGAATTTCTGTGGATTTTACTGGTGCCAGCTTTTAGGTTCTTTAAGACACTAACAGGACTGCGTAAAAGCTCTTTCAGCATTACTGTATTGTCTCCTGCCAGCTGTGGCGAGATTGCCATTAGAAGTGGATGTTACACCTGAAGGCCGTTAGACTTGTAGGGGAGAGATTTGTTATGGCAAGGTAGTGCGCATGTGGTGGCATTTTTCTTTTTTTATAACTGTTTAAACTGAATTTTATACCAATGTTTAAACTTAATTGGGTGTTTAGCTTGAAGTTACAGGTTGCATTGGGACATATATTGTAGTGGTTTTACTGTATAAAAACAAAAGGTTCCAAACTGCTGAAATGTTGCTGAAAATCATGGTGCTGGTAACAGTTCAACAATCCGTGGCTGCTCATTCTTGCCTATTCTTTACTTTTCCTCAAAGCAGGTTAGCATTGAAGGTGGCATTGATAAGCCTGCATGCGTGTTCAATATTTTTTCTTTCTCCCTCCCCTTTCCCCATCTCCCTTCGCTCGCTCAACCTCTTTTGTTCAGTATGTGTAACTTGAAGCTAATTTGTACTACTGGATATCTGACTGGAGCCACAGATACAGAATCTGTATTGTTCTTACTGAAACACAGCATGGAATTAACATTAAACTTAAATAAAACAAACCTAAATTAAAAATGCCAAATATTACCATGACTTTCTTTTATATTTTAGTTATTTCAGTAAGAATAACTTTCCTTTGTTGCTTGTAATAGGAACACTTGGAGAGGGGGAGAGAGAGAGAAAGAGAAGTAACAGCATTGTTCTTCAGACATGAGATAAAGTAAGATCCCAGTCTTATGCGTAAGTAGTATAGCCGTGAGGCCAGCCTCCTAGAAGACAGCCTGCTTTGCATCAGGAGTCAGCAGCTCTTCCACACCATTTATTCAGCCTTTCCCCACCTGAATGCACAAAAAGCCGTGATCTGGTTGGTGCATTCCTCTCGCTTGCCCTCACAGCGCTCCTCTCCATCCACGTAACTGGACTGGATGAGAAGGGAAACACATTATCTTAACGTCCACCCTGCTTAGCTGGTGTCCTCGAAATCTCTAGGAATAATCTGCTCCTTGCGATAGACGGTAGCGGGGCTACCCTCTGTGTAGATAGATTGGGCCTGAGAACCAGAGACGCAGCAGGACTGCGTGACAAATGAGAGAAACAAAATCATACCCCCCCTCTCAAAAAAATAAGAAATGTGATGAAACAGTTTCTACAACAAAGACAAGGTGTGGGGTTTTTTTGTAAAAATTTATTGAGCGTAGTCTTGAAGAGGTTATATAATAGCGTATACAGCATTGTATAGTATATACACTCTAGCATATACAGTGGTATGGTGTATATGTACTACAGTGTATACAGCATTCCAGGCCTGGGGCAGTGTTTGATAACTGCATAATGTCGGAAACCAAAAAGTAGGAGGCCGAGCCGACTGTATGTGAGTGGCAACATGTTTGGTTATATTTTATTCAGGGCTTACTGTAACTGTTGTTGCTACTGCATCAGGATAGAGGTGGAATGTGAAGGATTTCTAAGGCAAGTAGAGTGCAAAATGTACTGTTTGAGGTCTAGAACTCGGAAGTTGGAGCTGTGATTTGCAGTCAGCAGGTATTTGACACGTAGCTGTCCACCCTGTAGCCATTTGGGTTGTTAAATGAAGGTGCTTAGTATTAATCTCTGACGCAGTCTGAGACCAGTTAGCATTCAAAACGTGTATCGCTTCTAGCGTTGGGTTAGAACTGGAGTGAAGTGACACAGCTTGCTTAGGAAGATGCTTCTGTGCAAAGGAGCTGTCAGCCAGTTGGTCAGTAATGCCAGCAGCGCTGAACTAGCCATCTCTTCCTCTTTAAGGCAGTACAGAGAGGCATTTATACAAACATTGTGGAGCTTTATTGTGGGAACTCAAACTTCCAGTTATCGCTGAAAACGAGAGGAAAAGCAACTTTTTCTGAAGGTGCTGCTCTGAGCCTGATGAGCTGTGGGGGAAGGGGCAGTGGTGACTCCCAGACAGGTACAAGGTGGGAGGGAAAGCTCATGTGCACATCCTGTGGCCAAGGACTACAGGTTTCATTTCCAGCCTAGAGCGGCACAGAGAAGTGGTGGCCTCTGCAGTTTGTATTAATTACTTAGGTTTTGTTTGGATGTGTGGATATGAAAAAGTTCCTACGGTATAAAAATATCACTACAGAGCAAGAAATGGGACAAGTGACTTGCTTTGAAAAAAAAAAAAGTAAGAGTCTCTGATCCAGATGAGTGAAGAAGTTACATGATGGGGTTTCTCAGGTTCACACCTTATAATCATAAACTAAAAACAACAAAAATTCCAAATCTAAAACATAAAAGTTTCCACATCAACTCCATTTCTTGTAGTGCATCTCCCATACTCAGCTATAAAGTATTTACAGGGTTGTACTCATTTACAGAATATGGCTTTAATATATTGTAACACAAAGCATCAAAACGTCTCAGAGCAAAATTCTTCATAAAACTTTCTGAATATAAAGTTTGGCATTTCATTGATTTGGCTGACAAAGCAGCAGAGTTAGTTACTTGTTTTCTGATTGTGCTTTTTGATGAGGACAAGCACAAAATTTTGGTCGTTTCCATCAGGGCTTAAACTCTCAATAGAGCTACCTCTCCCTCAAAGCCCAGCTGAATATGTTTCATGAGCCACGGTTTCACAGACATGGCGTTGGACCCATGCGTTTGCCACTAAGGTAAGGAAGAGAAGGCCTTTCTTTTGGAACTTTCATATTAAGACAAGAAAGCAAGATGTATTTTGTGGTGGTTTTTTTTTTTTCTGAAAGTGCAGGTCTTTGGTAACAATAAACAAAATGAGCAAAGCGAGGAAGGAGGGGGGATTTTGCTGGGAACAATGTCCAGCCAATTCTATAGGGTGCAGTCAGACTGACGGAGGAAAAGGTCCTGTCGTGGTGGCACGTTTTATCATCGAGAATTCAAACGTGGAGCAACCTGCAGGAGAAGAAGGACAAGCTAGAAAGCGTGTTGAAAACAAAGATGCTGCAACAGTTTTAGCTCCTAAACAACTTTAAAGCGCACTAAAGCCTGGCTTGTGGAATTAAGCTGTTGCGCCACAGCATGTGAAGCTTGCTCTGCTCTGAAGTTGGCCGGTCTGGGCAGGAACCACAAGCCGATATTGGCAATTCAGTAAGTTGGAGTCCACAGTGCGCTTATGCCCCAGTGCCTGTGGTTATATTAAAACCTTCTCCCTAGGCTAGCAGTACAAGACGACTGCTTTGCTGAGGAGGGAGGGGCAAAACTGGAAAAATGTTCCCAGGGACGGTTTGAAAAGGGCGGGGGAAAAAAATTATGGGATGTGTTTCTTCATAGTCTAAGAAGTTACTTGGTTTGCTGTTACTGATAGCAAATAAAGCAGCCTGATCCTTGCTTCAGCATGCTTATGCAAATTTAATCTCTCTTCCCGTGTCGTCTGTAGGCATTCCATAGAGCAAGGAGATCCTTTCGCAGCGCTACGTTTGTGGCTTTTCACAGAACAGACTGTTTCAGTGAAGAGGGAAGCTGGAATGTTGATTGCCGTTCTGAGGCTAGTCAGCCTGCAGTAGGACAGGGGAGCTCGCTCTTTCAGCTCTGATGCTGGAAGGGGGGTGAGTGCAGTCTGACTGGGTTTTGGATTTATTTCTGAATAACCTTTAATCTGACAATGCATAAATCAGTTGCATGACTATATCTGACTAGCAGGAAGACTACAAACAATCTGAGAAGGGAAGAGGATTTCTTTTTGCTTCCTGCGTTTTTAAATGTCTTTCTAAAATTTGATTTGCAACGGAGTATAGCATTAAAGCCTGAATCTTGGGGAGGGGAAAAAAAAGTGATTGGACAATCACTTAATGAGTTCGAATAAGCCTGGCAGTCTTGAGACTGCAGGAAGAGAAATACAACGCACAGCTCCAACTGGGGAAAAGGCTGGTAGGCCAGGGCAGTGCATTCGGCAAGAAAGTCACGTGGCATGTGTCCATCTGCTGCAAAGATGGTTTAATGCCAAAATCTGGGTTTGGATCCACCGCGAGTGAACTACCATTTCTTACCGACCTCGGCCTGTACTCACCACTGTTAGATGGCCGTTCTTGGCTTTGGCTATAAGCAGTTCTGATCCCGATATAAAGTCAATTATGCCTTCTTTGCCTTGCCCAACTGTAAATTTTATGCTGCGAAGAGAAGGAGGTAAGAACAGATTTGATGAGTATTTGTGACCTCTCTACTAGCTTAGTTTTACCCTTTTCTCGTGTAAGTGGCTGCTTTGTATTGATGCTTAGCTGCAATAGATCTGCTTGTTCAAGGAAATGGAGCCTTAGTTAAGATGTATTGGGTACATTTTAATGTCGTTTAGGTATGTTTCTGTAGCCCTTTAATGCTGAAGCAGAGCGCTCTCCAGAACCAACACCAGAAAACCAAGGCAGCTCCTGAGAGGGGCTTGGCTGCACTCACCTGCCCTGGTTGATGTTGACATTATTGACTTTGTCTGCCTGCATGGCTGTTTTTGTTAGTGTCTCGATCACATGGTCACTTTGAAGTACAACATCACCCTGGGAGGAGAGAGACAATGGTTTACGATCATGGCTTTACAGTGTCAGTATACCAAAATGGTTATGCTGTCATTAACAGGGACAGAACTCTCTCCTTAGGTTAGCATGGGAAAACACTTCTCCGAGTGGACAACAGGCTTGGTGGAGATCTGCAGGGGGGTTGGGTCTCTTGTGGGTCACACTGCACTTAGGGCAGTTAATTGATTTACAAGGTATCGGTAATGGGGGCAAGGGATAGCACCAGTCCTGTTGGTGAACAAGTCACTGGTGAACCCCATCTGTGAGCACAAGTAAATATAAGTGAAATGCTACTTAGAGCTGGCACAAAGTTAGTTACACACGTGTCACCGTGTGTGTGGTCTTCCCCCCCCCCCAGCCTGGATCTTCTGCTCTTTGTGCCTTTAAAACTTTTTCTAGAGGTGGTTGGTGAAATGATGGATGAGTCCCGCTACCTTCTGTTTGTTATCCTCACAGTGCACGTGCAGCACAAACAAGTTATCGCTCAGGCTGCTGACGGAGATGCCTGCAATAGAGAACGGCCATTTGACACCCAACACAACTCTACTGGGATTCCTGCATGCGTTTCAGAACCTCTCCCAGGAACGCAGCAACTGTTGGTCCCACACCAAGAAACCTGACAGCTGAGAAGCTGCACAGAAGCACTGCGCTAACATGCCAGCAGCGAGGCTGAAGAGGCTGCAAGGTGACAGCTTCAAACTGTGCTCTTTAAGATGGAAAAGAAACTTTCAGATGCCTCTGTCCATCAGAAGCAGGAAGAACGCCTGTTTACAACCTGTCACGGCCTTCATGGACTTGACAAAGAGCTGCTTTGGCCAGTTAAGGGACCTATGACCAAAACTTTACCTTTCAGCACCCCCTGGACAGACACTTCATTCCAGCCCTGTAGGTGGATGAGTGGTGTCATTACTGGGGTACTAAGAAGGAGAGGGACAACTGGAACAATGGGGTCACTGTTGTCTTCCCCCCGTTGCCAACATGTGGTAAGAAAGGCCAGAGCTGCTGTAGGAGCTTGGCTCCAGAAAGCTGTCACTGCTGTGAATTCCTTGCTCGCCCTGCAGCTAGGCTTGGGGACAGGCTGAACCCACACCCACTCGCTGGCGTATTGGTCCTTGCAGATCCAGTCCTGAGCTGCTGCAGGTTCTCGTTATGCTGCACTGTGACTGACTCGGGCTCCGAATCCAGCATTTCTGCTCACCAGCCAGCGGTGCCTTCTGACCGTACAGTAGGCAAGAGGCGTAGCCTCTGCAGGGAGTTGCTCATGTTGCTAAATGAACAAAATCCTCTCCCTGGGGTAGGTGGGTAGGGATTAGTTAAGGAGCACTGTGCTGTCTTTCAGGAGTGTCTGTTTCTTCATAGTTTATTTTTGGACTTCGTTTAATATCTTGATATGAACCCGATTAGCTATTTGAATTGAGCTAGCCCAACACCCTAGCAGAGGTAAACATACATCTTTGCCATAATAGTGTCTTATGGGAGTCACAGAACCCTGAACTAGTGTTGCCCTTGGAAACACTTCAAAGGGTGACAGAAATGCAGGAGGTAGTTGCATCAGGCTAACATTGAAATGATTAGCACCAAAACTGGCTGTGAAGAGGAACTGCAGCGGAGCTGGAGACAAGGCTGTGAACTGAGAAGTTTCAGACAAAGCCAAGTAATGACTACAGTGCACCAGACGCCGCAGTTTTCTCTGTCTGACCAAGGTCCCCCCTCTAAAATTAGTGTTCAGTCCGTGTCAGATATTCAGAGGGCTGAAAGCTGGAGCGGTGTCCCAAGCCACTGCTATGTAATGATGGCGCAACTCCCCTGCGGCAGAGACGCGCAATTGGGAAATGACTTCGGAGGCGGCTTGGGGGGGAGATGAATTGAGTAATTTTTGTGACATCTTATGGAGTTTAATTTTAGAAAAAAACTCAGTTTCAAGATATTACAGACTTGAATGTATGCTGATGCTTGTCAGTATCAGATACTTCCATTCTTGTCCAGGACAAAGACAAATTGATTATTTTATTATTACTTATTTAACTGTAGCCAAGGTGAAGTCTGACTTCAGTCAAGTGAGCCAAACCCCATTTATGTTACATTCTCACCTGTCAGATTGGCATAGTCGATGCGTTGTTTGATTTTGGATTCTTCGACTATGACGACTGCGTTCTGGGTAAGAAGCAGCTGCCGTGCTCTTGCTTTGTATCCTTTCCGGTCGTACTTGATCACAGGAACTGCATACTGAAATAAGTGTTAACAGTGCTAAAAATGCAACTTGTTTAATTGTCAGCTACCTTCCCTCTAGCCTAGAGAGCTCGCAGGAGGTACTGACCCGTGGTTGGTAAACTGGGACTGGGGGCAATCCTTTTGAGTCCTAGTCTCAGTTCTGCCACAGACATCCTTGTTGACCTAGAAGAGTTCTGAACAGTAACTTGGTGACTACAGCTGTCTGACTGCGGGCTTGACAAATCTAGGTTTAGCTGCAGTCTGCGTAGGTTTCTTTATCGCTCCTTTCCTCTCCAGCCCTGCCAGCTGCAACCCCTTCAGTTCTTCACTGACAGAAACTTGCCCAAGTCTCACAATCTATTTCTGAGCCATCAGCTCTTCCCATAGACTATCTTCTAAGGTATTACAAGCTTCGTGTAATGTAAAATTCTTGCTGTATTTTCTTCAGAAATCTAATCTGCTGCTGCTCTGCTGAATAACTCTAGAGGCTCAGCAAAAGTATTAGGACACATATCTCACCTTAATTGCTTCACTTTCTAAAGCCTGAAGGACTTTAGCATTTATCTCTTCGTTACCTGTATTAAAACCAAAAAGGTGGGGTCAGAAAGAGAAATTTCTAGCAAGAGTAGTTAATCCTCCCCTTTCTTCTTCCTGTTTGACACCACCTACTCACCAAGTCGAGTGTTGATGAAGAGTCTAGGAACGCTCTGAGGGTAATTGTCTTTTTTACCCTTAAAAATCTCACTGGCAATTACTTTTTGTTCCAACTGCAAGGACAAAAGATGTATTCGTGTTTAGTATAAAATGTCTCCTTAAATAAAAAGATAAATCTGTCTTAAAAGAGATGTTCTTTGTTTTTTTAGCAATCGTCATCTAGTTCTGACTCCTGAATCATACTGGTCACAAAATTACACAAAATATTCCATACATCCCTTACATTTTCAACAGCTATCCAATCTTTAGGGCAGAAAAGAATTTTTTTTTTTTTCCCCTTTATCTTTCATCTCAGAAGTATGCATCACCTTTTCATCTGGACCTAGTCTCTGGATTTTGCTAATGCCCATGTTCAAAAAGTCTCAGACTCCTCCCACTGCAATGATTCTCTTAACTCTTCCTCCTTAAGCTTAAACAGTTTGTTCTCCTGCTCTGCCCCATCTGGCTTTTTTCATGTTTCAGATCAGTTATTTTTTCTCCCCCTGAAGCCTTTCCTTGAAGTCCTGACAAAGAAGTTACGTCCTTATTAGCACCGTGTAACACATTCATTACAGCTCCCTGGTCTCAGCGCTCTCTACCTTATCCTCTGACAAACAGTACAGTTCCGTTAGCTGCCGAGTTGCCCTGGGAGTTCCTGTTTAAATGATGAGTCACCGCAAACCTTTGGTCCCTTTCGGAGGGGCAGTATTCCAGGATGCAGTCACCCCACGCTGTCACTACGAGCCGTGCTCTTAGCTCCTAACTTGTGCTCCTTCCGAATAAGACCAAAACCAGTGAACGAGGAAACGGGAAACCCCCTTTGCTTTATTTCGGGCAAATGCATGTTACGGGGGCTGTTGCACAGTTTAAAATACCTGAGATGATTTACAGGTAAAAACGTGGATAAAAGATACTCGTCACCAGTGAGTCTGGTTTGCTGGGGAAAAGAAAGCGTTAGGCCGAGTTTCCACCTCCGGCTCAGTAATGGCTGGTATTAATCCTGTGCCCTTAATCACAGGCTCAGCCACTAACTAATCTACAGCATTTCATTACGTGTGCTGAATACTTCGCAGGCTTTCATAAGCAGTATGATACACTATGCAATAAAAAAAAAAGCTTAATGACAACTATCACGATCATCTCATAACAGTTACATCTAAAGTGTTTAACGTACACATTTCCTATTATGTCCCTTCACTGAGCTTTTTTTAATATTAAAAAAATTCCCTCCCCCTACCTTCCCATGACTGAGATGAATCAAATTTCAGTATCATTTTTGTTTGTTCGAGCTAGAACAGCAGCTGTAACACTTCATGTAACTCCTCTGTTTGGGAAATGACTAGTTTTGTGTCTGCAGAATTCTTGGTACAAGCAGAATAATGCGGCTTCTTACATTTCTGTCTTCCATGGGAAGAAGACCAGGGCCTTTCAGTATAGAAATTACATAGGGGCATGGATATACAACGCTATTTAAATAATATGTATTGAAATTACACGTATAATGGTTTTTCTTTTATTTTATGCACATTCTGGTCTTTTATATTTTTGTCACTAACCTAAAAAAAAAAATTTAAAAAAATCAGTGCTCTTGTGGAACTGTTAGCCAACCACGGAAGAGCACAGTGATTCAGGAGTTCCTCCACCTCACCACCGCTGCTGTGCCTCCCTCGGTAGTAGCACCCTTGTCCCTCCCATCCAGCTGTTCCCCTCCTTAATTTCTTACAATAAATAATGCTGTTCTTGGGAACATCAGCGTAGTTTGTGAAGTAACATAAAGTTGTCTCGTACCTGCTGCTTCCACTCTGGGCTGATTCTCTTGCAGTAGGTCCAGACCATGTTCTGCATACAGAGCTGTCGCAGGAGCTGGGATGCCTGAAGAAGAAATGGCACAACAAATGAGAACAGCCCCAAATTACTGACAAACCAATTCAAACAGTGAAGACAGATGAGAAGCAACTGCAGGAAACGCACTGCTGAACTACAATACTGCTTCATTACCGAGAGTCGCTTCTAAAATTAAGTAACAGGAAGTTTGTTTTCCACCTTTCTAAGAGAGTTTGCTCCGCAACATTCTCCAACTGCTTTAGAACGGAGAACGAATACCAGGAGCGCTCCCCTTTACGCTGCTGTGCCCTTCCTCGCTTCCAGCTGTACCTGCGTTCCAAACAAACAAGGACCTTTGGGTAAGATAACTGGGACTTTCTGCAGTATTTTGTTTTGATCAGATAAAAACCCCAACTCTGCCAGATGCAGAACAATAATGGCAATAGAGGAAGTTCAATATGTTCTTCACAGGCAACTGCATTGTCATTGCAGCCCATTTAACTTTCCAGAGGGAACTTAATTTGTTCAGAGAAAAAGGGAAGAAAATTTCAGAAACGGATGAGAAAACCAGTAGAAAATGGTGTTGCAACAGCACCACACTCCCGAGAACTTTCAATGCTATAGCTCTAATAATTTTAGAGATATGCTGTAATTACACCCATGTGATGATGTGTGGATTAATTCTACTAGTAGCGATGCTAATGCGACGTGGAACTTGAGCGAGAACCCGGTTCCTTCTTGCTCCGGTAGCAGGAGGGTCCCCTCAGGCCTTTGCTGGCCCGTGGTCTTCAATACTGCCCCGAGTCCCCTCCGCCCTGCGTATCGTTCACCTGACCCTGGTGCGGCTGTGCCTACCTCACAGAGCGAGGGAGGAGGAGTTGGCCACGATTTGTCCAAAACGTTTTTTGGCAAATTACGCTTGAGGTTCATCAGGAAGGAGAAGCGGATGTAATCGAGGAAATACTCGTTCTCTGGGCAGCGAGGGTGGTTCCGGTAAATAAAACCTTTAATGAACCTGAGGAAGAAGAAAAGTTTGTGAGAAAATTAGAGGTGTTTAGAGGTCTCTTCCAACCAAACCATTTTCTGGGATTTACTTAGTAGTTGTAATTTATTAAAAAAAGCTCTGACACTATAGTGACAAGAAAGTTTATTCTTACTTGTCTAAGATTTGTCTACTTGTCTAACAATTTCTATTGTTAAGAAATAAGTACCCATTTGATGGCTTGGCTTATTCTTTACGCACCTTCTGATAGTCTCTACTGCCCACTTCTTCTTGGCAGCTTTTCGGCGTCCCAAGGTTCCCCGCCACCAGGACTGGATCGCTATTGCTAAAAATAACACAAAGATTTTCCCCTGAGCGAGCTCCTTCATACCAATATTGACGCCGTACAAAACCGGCAACAAAGAGTGCTCAAGAAAGCCCGCTCTGTAAGTAGACAGCCGAACAACATTTAAGTTCTTAACAATATGACACAACGGATAAATGTCAATAAAAAGCACCGGCGGATGGGAACTGCTGTACGGGGGCTGCTGGGTGAACACGAGTTCAGTGGAAGGACTGGGTACCACACCGACATCTTCCATTCTACTTCCAGCGAGGCTTTGGGGACGCTCCTTCGTGCCCATCAAACTCAAGTCATCTCTGACAACAACGGCCACTTCAAACCGCACAGTTACGCAGCACTGCAGTTTCCTCTCTCTCTGTCTCATACCTGAGTGTTTCATGTGCAGGAATTTCTTTCGACGGTAGAAACCTCTCCACGTGGCCTGCATTTTTGTTGCTGAAATTGCAAGAAAAACAGCAATTTGAAATTGTGACCAAGCAGATTTTGGTAGAAAAAGGGTCAACTTTTTAAACAACCCCCGCCCCCCGCTCCCGAAAAAAATAAATCAGAAAACAGACAGGTAACTGTCCATGAAGCTACTGCAGTGTGTGTGACTCACCCAGACTCTGCTTCCTCACTTCCAGAGCATCTTCCGTTGCAAACAAGGTCTTGGGAAAGCGGATAAAAATCTTTGTTCTACAAATAGAAATAGAGGATTGTGTTTAACATGCCGGAGCAGTTTGCTTCCTGCCCTTAGCATCCCCTTTGGGATCTCTTATCTTTTCCTCACCCGTTAGGTAGAGAAGCCTTATTTAAAAGCAATGACACGCATGTCCAATGATTCATAATCTCAAATTAAGAAACTAGAAGAACTAACCGTCCCATTTTGTATTCTTCCTGTTTGTAGCCAAGGTGCTTCACCAGCACAGCCACCCCATCGTGGGGCCGGCCATCCCACGTAGGCCATGTTTCTGGACACAGTGATTTGTACCTGTAAATTGACAGCAGAAGAAATCTTAGGGAGAGAAGTCCAATCCCCGCGGGGCAGCGGGAAGGGAGAGGGGCCATGCTTCTCGCTCCCTCAAGAAAATAAGTCCTCCAGGTGTAAGGGCTGCCTCTTCGCTGTTCAGAACAGCTCCCCAGCCTCAACGTCTGTGGGACCGAGACCAGGGGGAGGAGGCAGCAGGGAGAGAGAAGTCCAAGGAGGTAAATCCTACCTCTGCAGGAAAACTTCGTATTTTCTTCGATATGCAAACCCAGCTCTGCGCACTCTGAGGTTCTCCATCAGCCCTAGGTATTTCACTTGATGTCGGATGAGAACTTCATCAAATCGGTCTTGAGAGAGCGTGAAAAGAGAGAGACGTGATCAATGTATACCTGTCCCTTATTCCCCTAAATAAGGGGAACGTTCAGTTCTTGGTTATATCTTACACAATTATCTTTCACCTCTGACCCAGCCTCATGGTGCAAGTCCTACACACCTTGCTTTGTCTCTCCTGTCTTCCCCCCCGCCCCTTTAATATACATTTATATCTAGTTCCAAAAAGAAGTTCTCCTTTAGGATGTTCTATGCATGCAGGAGGAAGAAATGAGGGAGAATAAAGGTCATTAAAAGGAAGTCACGGGGGTTAATAATTCTTCGCTTTAAACATGACCCTACTCCACCCAAGACCAGTGCTCCCATTCTGATTCCTGGCTGCTGGCACTGCCACCACCTCCCCACATGCAGCTCTAGCACAGACCCAGAATGAAAAAATCTTGCAGGACTTCTTCATTTGAGCTCCTTTCTGTGCCTCGCTGACTGGGATCTAGTGGTCTATATATAGCTGTCATAGAAAAAAAGAGGAAGAGTCACCAGGGTCGTACCAGCCTGTTTGGCATCGTTAGGTTTCATGCAACGAATGTAGGAGGGTTCTTTGGACATCAGAATTTCCATGAGTTTGGAGAGGCTGTTTTTAAACTGAGTTGCTGCCTAGGAGAAAAGAAAGAAAACTCTGTATGAAGCGATGCCTTACAGCTAGTACTCGCGACTGCAGAACAAACCTCAGTCTCCCAGCTTTAAATGTAAGAGGCTTGCGTTCAAATTACCGTGGTTTTTATGGTAATCTTTTTTAAAAGACATGTCTTTTAAAAAAAGAGGAAACAGTCCCGCTTCCATCCAGCTCTTGCGCTCTTACCGTTTCAGGTCTCTTTTTGTCTGTCAGCTCTGTCCTGTCAAAACACTGATTTATGATAGGATTCTCCGAGTTGCACATGGTCTGCAGAGAGAGACGTTTTCAGAGATAAAGTACAGAGTATTCTTCAGAGAACTATCAAAGAAACATGGGACAAAACTGTTTGTTTGGGTTTTTTTGTTTTGTTTTGCTTTTTAATAATAAGATGAACTTCGGGCACCTCAATTTGTCTTTTCATAGCGCAGCCCTATGGACACGCATTCTCCAGGTAGAGTCTAGAAGAATCTTTTCCCTCATGTGCCACCCCATTTTAAACCCGACTCCTCGTTCTGCTGAGTATTGGAAACGTCCTCTGTCCACACTCACCTCCTTCAGGTTCCGAAAGAGAAGGTCATTGTTTTTATCTAGAAAACCTGGAAGAAAAAGAAACCGCTCAGGCTGCCACCGCTGTTCCACAGGAACTTCACGACAAGGCAGGAATTTGAGATGGGAAATTAATCTGGTTAACAGAATGATGTGTGGACGTATTCTATGCCCAGATTTTTCTTTACTATATAGTGAAGCTGTTTTAATTCAAAGGGCAGAGGATGGGAGGCGGAGAAGAGAGTGAGAGACAGCGGAGATGATGCACACACTTACCTGCAACACTGTAGGTGACCTCTCCAGCATAGTGCAAAAGCCGAAACTCCTCCCGCCCCAGTGACTTGCGAGTCTTTTGGTCAGCGAGCTTGTGCCTGGTGAGAAAGTGAAGAAGCTTCATGAGAAACAAAACGTTTGTTTCACGGGGGGATTCACTTCAAAAAAGCACTATGGCATTTGATCCAAGAGTGGGACTATGTGAACACAGCAGGGGGGCGGGGGGAATAAATCTGACTTGCTGATTTTCAAGACCAAAAGTAAATAAAGAGTTATCAACCAGCAAATCATAAAAATGTCGTAAAACGTATTTATGTTTATTTCAAAAGGATGAACTTTCAGCTTCCTGGCGAGGTTGCAGAGTGGTTCTGCATGCACATGAAATTAGAGTAGAGGCAGCAAGGCAAGAGGGCAGCGAAGACGCTGGCAGCAGGCTGGCGTACTCCTGAAATGCCGTACAGATCCTAATTCGAGCATAAGCAGAACATTCAGTAAGAATAAAAGGACATTTGGAACTCCAAAACTGAAGTAAACAACCTGAAAGGTGAAACATGGAATTCACACCCATTGAACTGGAGCGGCGGCAATACGGGTAGGTTACCAAAGTCAAAGGAGGATGTTCTTTAAGTCTGGGAAGCAGACGGGCACAAAGGTGAGCTAGTGCAACATAAACCTCTCAATTTCAAAAGCACCAACACTGCTTAAACCATTCTGATGCAGACACACCTCTGAACACTATTTTTACCAGTAAAATTCTGCTCTGTGTTCTAGTTATTCCTAGGGCCGACTTGAGTCATCGGGCATCTTCCCCCAGGAAGCCATCAATGCTGGGGAATGGTCTGGCCTAATACTCCAAAACGGAGAGTTTGTCACACCTGACGTATTGGGCCGGATCTTGGAAGAGCCAAGAAGCCGCAAGCCTGCAAATTCCTTGGACGTATTTAGCAGTAGGATGCCAGGAAGAGATCGGTGAAGAGGCAAGTCAGTAAGAAGAGTTGTTGCTCCTGTTGAATGCTGAAGCGCAGTCTTGAGAAGAGCAAGGCAGTTAGTGTTGAGAACTTATTCTACATTACCTTAACTCACGATCTAATCTCTTTGCAAAAGAAAAGACGATCATCTTTTATGTGGGACCCAGTACACCTAGGATGCTACTGCCACACACACAACGAGTTATAATGTTATCTAGGAATAATGAAAGCTCTAGGCTCTATCACACACTTGGATCCTACCAGTGTAACTGTCCTCAGCTAGGTGAACACTCACGTGAGAAAGTGAGGGTGGTTCTTCACAGTTTCCTCCAGTTTCTCCAAGAATGTTGTATCTGTGGCATCCCCAGGTCTCAGACACTCTTCATCCTGCAAACACACGTGTTCTAGCATTCATGTCCTTCTCTGCTTGTCAGCGCGCGGGCCAGCTCTAATTCTGTCTCACTGAAACACGGTCCCAGTTTGACCCTTTGGCCTTCTAGCAGGTGGGCCACCTCCTAGTTCAACAAGGGGAGAATTGTTGAGCTGAAAAGGAAAACACTTTCCTCCTTCCCGACTGCCTGGATTGGAAGCTTCTTTCCCAAGAGCAGATGGAGGCGATACAATATGGCTTTTAATGGCGTCACTGTTCAGTGTATCGTTGCTCTTCCCGCCTCCTCAAACAGTCCTAACATAAGCTTAAACCGTTTTTTTCTGTGTTCTTCCCCTTGTTTTCCACGACGCTGCCCCAAATTTATCATTTAAAAAGGTGCTGTCAACTCACCAAAATAGAAATGATGCCTTTGAATTTTTCTTCCACCAAATCACAAATTATTTTGTTATTGAAATACTGAACTGGTTCCCACTACAAAGACAAGAAATCACACTTGGGTGAAAACAATTCTAGACTGGAAAAAAACATGAAAATTTCAGAACATTTCAGACAGCACCTTACTTAAATAATCTTTCTGTTGAATTCGAAACAAAGCCTTTTCACTCATCAAATTTGTTTTCCTGACATTCCCTTCCAAAAGCTTTTTTTTTTTAATCAAAGTGAAAGACTGGAAGGGCATTACTCACTTCTAGCTGTATCACACAGAGTTACCAAAGTGTTTCAAAAAGAAAGGGAAAAGGAAAGTTCTTTAAATTCATTTACTTTGGAGACCGCTATTAGCAGCTCCTTCTCTAATCCTCTGGCCTGCAGGAGGTGCTACAAAGGAGACAGTGGAAGCGATGATATTGGCTCTTACCGCTATGCCTTCTGACTCGTACTCCTCTTGTTCCGACTTTAATGTGAGCTCTATGAAGAGCTGCTGCAATTTTTCATTACAATAATTAATACAAAATTGCTCAAAGCTGCAAACAAAAAAAATCAGAAAAAGAATCACTAACGCTGTACCACAAGTAAAAGCAGCTGTGATCAGTGGGCAGCAGCATGAATGTGTATCTGCATAAATCGAGAGAAATGGAAGAGGTTTAGCAAAATGTTTATTTACTGAATGTATAAATTTAGTAAGTTTAGCGAATCTCATGAAAGAGTTCCAGAAGGAGGGAAAAACGGACATGAAGGGTGGAACACACAGGAACACAAAAACTTTGAAGGGCCCAGTAACACTGCAAATTTGAAAGTCCCAGTTCATGGCTATCTGCCAGAGCCAGGTTCCAGGCTCCGACATAGTCCCATACACGGTTTATAGCTGTGTTTTCCTATTCACCCCACCGTGGAAAGACGCCACAAGAGCCACCGCTGTGCTGGAGAGCCGGACAAAGGCATAGTTCAAGCTATCGCATGAATATGCCCCAAAAAGGCAACAGTCTCTTTAAAGTACCAGGAACCTCAATAGCTGTAAATGCTAAGTATTAGCTGGATGCCCCGAGTGTTAGAAGCCCTGCGATTACCAGTTATTCAACTGATTTCCTGAAGTTTAAACATCATCTCTTTCTCTCTTATTAGTAAGAGAACCAGAGATGGAATCATGTCTTATTTCACAACGGAGAGAAAACACTACAATGAATGAAGTCACGCAGAGTTTACTCAAAACTCAGAGACATCAATTGAAACAAACCTGTTGTGCTGGAAAACCTCAAATCCATAGATATCAAGCAACCCTAGAACTGTTGTACTTCTCCAGCCCGGAAACTCTCCTTCCTGCAATAGGACAAAAAATAAATGTTGATACGTACTCACAGCTACGATCCATCACTGGATCTTGCCCATTTCGTTACAGCATTTACTCCTTACTCTCTTCTTAATGGAAAACTAATTTAGAAGTCACTGTACAGCATGGAGCTTACCATTTCTCTGCTTTGCAGCTAAAAGATTTGAAACTTCCTTTCGTGCTTGGTTGGATATCAACAAACAAAAGGTTCATTTACCTTGTAAGCGAGAGACTTGTTAACCTTGTTCACCAGCCAGGAGAAAGTGCGTCCATATATTGCCTTAGCAAGTGCATCCCTTGCGTAGGCTGCCTGCTCCAGGTTCAGAGGACTGATTAGCTGCATGCAGAAGGAGAAAAAAAGCCATTCAACAGCCATTCCACTGAGAGATTAGGTTTCCCTAGTTCACTGTTAATAAACAGCCACTTAACGGCATCCTGTCTGGGCTCAGCTCACATCGCTGTCTCCCAGCCGTACAGGCTGCAAGTCACCATAAGGTTATGGGACTCTCGCACTGACAACCTCCTTTGACAAGTGAGAAGCGACCTGTCCAGTTCTGGTAGGAGCGCTGACGGTGTCTCGCTAGCTCGATTCAATTCCACGTGCCTCCCAGATCCCCAGTTCATGTTCTTACCTCTTCCCCTTTTGCTATGATCTTCTTGTGGATCAACGCGTCTCGAAGAACGGAGCCCTCAACTGCTAGAAGCTGCAAAGCAGTAGAATATTAAATTAATTCATGAAGCAGTATGTTCAATTTATCAGTTCTAGTTTTAAGAGATCAGAAAGGCTAGTCCCCAGAATCACAGTCCAGTGGAACAACCCTTTATTTTTCCATTCGCACTGCAAGACTTTTTTTTCCTTCTTCTTCAACATCAGTCTTTCCCTCTTCTCCCGCACACCACCTCCTTTCTGCCAGCGGCATGACCTAACAAATAAATTGGCTCGGTTGTTCTGGCACAAAGAACTGACTAAGCAAAGCCACCGGGGTTCTTCTTTCTTTAAAACTCTTCTCCAGAGTAGGTCTATTCCCATCCCACTGCCTGAAGGCAAAAACCTCAAGTCAGTGGTGCATCAAACGGTAAAGAGAGCAGCTGTCAGTTAAAGGGTTTTGATGTTGATATTTGCATGTTATTTAGGTCAAAGAAAAGTAAATTTATGAAAACTTCTAAATCGTGTTCTAAAATGATACAATGGTACCAAGTTCGAAATAAGGACACCTCTCTAATTCATCTTTCATGTACTATATCTCCAACTGGCGATACTCACCCTGGCCAGATATTTAATCTGATTCTCCGTAGTGACCTGAGCATTTCCTTGCTCATCAGCAGCAAACTGCACGTTCCCCAGATGCAGAACGCTAGCCACAATGCTCAGCAAATCCTAGGATGGACGCAACAGGCAGGAACCAGGATCACGAAATGAAAGCACAGCAAGAAAAGGCAGTGAGATTTTTGTGTTTATTAACATTTTATGAGAACATTATTTATTTTTTCAGGATTTTTGCAGAGAATACATTCACTCTGAAGGCTGCCTTCGGTCAGACATAACAAACCAAAGCAGAAAAAATCCTTAAGAGTAGGAAAATCAGCTGTGCTGTCAAACACGTCTTACCTCCACCTCGTTGTCATTGAAGCTTATAATGGACAAGGCTCTTCGCACAATCTTCCAGTCATTTTTATCATTTATGGAACTGACCCTTGCACAGTGACCCTAAAAAGACACAGTTTGATGTAAATAAGTAAATAATTGTCGAAGACACATTACTCATGCTCAGTGCAGTTCTGCCATGTGTTTCTCTTCATAGCAGTCATCTCAGTGTTATTTTTGAACTGAGGGAAGGAAACCACAAAGCCAACTGAGAATATATCGGTCCTATAATATAACAGTATTGTAAGAATTACTAGTTAATCCACACCTTTACCAAATAGTGATACTGTTGTGGGCTCTTTTCGAGGCCGAGCCTTCGCAGTAAGTCTTCTTCCCCTCCTTCTAGCAGCTGATAGAAAATGTGGAAGTTCCTCTCTCCATGATTCTGGTGCACAACTCGGGATTTCTCCAGGAGGTAGTTCAAGATGTGGCCCCCAACAGGAGCCCCCTAAATCAAGCAGATACATTGAAATAGTTCATCAACACAGAGGAAAATATTTCTGCTTCTTGGTGGTCTATTAAAAGACAAGTAGGATACAAAATGACAGCCTACAAAAAGACAGAAAATCATCTGTCATTTTGTATCACAATCTCTATTTCAGCTAAAACATAGTGGCAGTTTGAGTTTTGAAATGTATGCGAAATGAGCTATCAAATGAAAATAACATGCCATTATACAGATCATGGCTACAGCACATACGGAATGGGATCTTCTGTAAAATTCCTTCTCAGAAGGAATTCAACACAGAGGAAAAGCAACAAAACTGTGAGTGTGGAGGGATTACATGCCGAGGCGTTTAAACGACTGCAGTATGCCGAGCTCCTCAGTTCTTGCACTATGTCCATAGAGTTGGGCAATTTGGATCAGAATGGAAACAAACACTATGCAAAGTTACACAGGGCAGAGATCATCTTCAGATCACAGCTGGCTTATGTGGACTCAGCCTGGGAGTATCCATTTGCATGGTGCACGTATACCCTAGAAATAAGAGGATTTAATCTCACTGTCTCCTTATATAGAGAAATGAGGGAAGAAAGAAAGGGAAGCGTGTACTATAAAATCCTCTGGAACCAAACTTTGCTACCACAGACCTGCTTACACCGTCATCACGGGAATGCAAAACAATCGCTCCACGCACACATCAGTACAAGAAAGCACAGGCAACAGCGACCTGCTATGACCGGGACCAGTTCTGAAGTATAACACAGATTTTAAGTTACCCTGTAATCAAACTGCACATCCATGTATTTCCCAAATCGGCTGGAGTTGTCATTCCGAAGGGTTTTTGCATTTCCAAAGGCCTGAAATAAAAACGATTAGAGAAAAATAATTAAGTATCAAATAAAATTATTTATAAACGCTTCGGTGAAGCTGCCGGTCATTTATTTACAGCCATTAAAGCCTAGGTTTTTCCTTTTTGCAAGGGAAACCAAGAAGGAAACAGATTGCTACCCAAATTCTAATGCTGATCTTTATACCCAGTGCAAGCACTGCAGATGGAGCATGCCTCTGAAAATGTTTCCATCCCCCCTAGCAAGCTTATTTTAATGCCACTTCACTGCCGACATGTGTCACGTCTGCCAGTCTTTTCAAAGCTTCCTCTTTCATCACAGCTACTTGCTTACCCTCACCCGCAGCTCCGCTCACAGCAGGCGCCACCCTAACAGCCCTAGGCCCGCCAGGCTTTCCCCTCATGGGGAGCGCACCTTTCCCGTACAGAGCGGAAATATCAAAGGCAACTACAAAGACAGCTCAGGACTGGACACTAGAGGACACCACAGCACTAGAAAATACACCCACGAACCCATTTATCAGAGGGCAACGCTGCCCACAGCCGATGTGGCTGCTTCTGGCTTTGCAAACTTACGCAGCGCACCAGAACTCTTCCCACGCCAAATGCCTCTGTCTCCCTGCAGCCTGCCCACTCCAGAATTGCTCCTGGTGGACTGGAAAGGGCCAGGTGAGTTCAGCAGCAGATGGCCATTGCTTTGGCTTGGGAGCAGACCGGGATTCCCCTGTGTGCAGTGAGAACGATCTGCCCACGTGCCGTGAACCAGTGTTCCCGCTCTGCACAGACAGCTCGGTCATGCCCAGTGGGGTCCAGCTGCTCCCACCCCCTCAGCTGGAAAATGTGAGTGCTTGCTGCTATGACTCAATGTCAAGTTTCAGTGCTGCAGGCTCTAGAGTTACCTCCAGGACGGGATTGGATTGTAACAGGCGGTCCTTCACGGTTTCGACCTGCTGACTGGCTGGACAGGTCACGGCGTAGTACTGCAGGATCTTCTTGGTGGCCTCTGTTTTGCCAGCCCCGCTCTCCCCAGAGATCAGAATACACTGATCCTTCCTCTCCGTGCGCAGGGAGCGATAGGAATTGTCTGCAATAGCGTAGCTAAGGGACAATGACAACCAGGCATTAGTTTGTTTCCACAAATGAAGGGCTGAGACTCCTCAGCTAAGATTATCCCACAGTGCGAACTCCAGGCAGAGACACCTCAGGAAGAAGCATGTATCCCATAGGATGGGTAAGAAGAGCGTATTGCTTCTGCACGCCGGTGATGAGACAGGAGATTGCTGTGAACACTTTCTGACATCTTTATACACATCTTAACCCCTGGGCCAAGTTCCTGCAGGGTGATGGCACAAATCTACCAAACTCCTTTAAAAACTGTTCTTTTGACTCTGATGAGAAGAGTTTCTGTAGAAGATGACCAAATGGTGCAGATAAACTTACTTTTCTAAATATACATGAGCTCTCAACATTGGTCCCGCAGGACAAAAAAGCTGTACATTCAGGAAACGTCTTGTTTTCCATCAATCTTTATTCTAGCTTATCTTTTAAGTGATGACACACTCAGAAGGTCACGACTGCACTTTGCTATCTGGGTGGCTCCTGAACAGCCCAACCTCTGGCAGCTTCTCTTGCACTGTAGAAAGAACAGGATAAGCCAGCACAGACTGATAAGCATCCCGCAGGCTATTTAAGCTACCATCCAGCTTAGGCCAAACGCTACCCAAAATACCAGACGGTTGCCCCTGCCTGCGTACAGCCAAGGTTTATTGCTGCTGGCGCTGGAGCCCTGCTTCTTCCTTTGCTGCTTTTGCTTTCTCTTCTCTTTTCCTCCCCACAATAGACCAGACAGGGTTTTATACCAAGAATCACACACACTTCTACAACGCCAGAGAGCAGGGGGATGTGTCTGACAATGGTGGCAACTGCTTACAGAGGGACAGAGGAAAAGAAGGACCAAGGGGATGCAATGGAAGAGGATAAGAGGAAAGAGGAGCGTTAGCCCTTCACAATGCACTCATATAAGACGACCTCCATAACAATATTTTCAGCTGTCTTACACGTGGTGATCAAGCAGATATCCTGTCTTCATATGCTTGACAACCTTTTAGTAGCTTTGCTTTTTTTGTTTTTTTTTGAACTCTCATGCTGTGAAATTAATTAGAAATAATCACACCAAAATAACAGCCGTGGCCTTCTCAGGTCTATTAATACTTGGTGCTAAGGCAACACCAACGAGCTACCTAGCAACACAACTGCACGCTTACCCCACTAAAGTCATCAAGTCCTTCTCTTCCCATCCAGGTTCTATCTCTGGAGTATTTTGAAAACAGCTGAATAAATGTAAATTTAATTTAAATTTTAAGAACTGCCTCTAGACTGTGTGCCTTTATTGGGTGATTTTATAGTACTGCAAGTGCAAGCAGAAAGCCAGCAGTCACGCATACCACATACAGAATCACTTCACTTGAAGATGTTTATGGTCCCATTTGCAGTCGCCACATCCGAACCCCCTGGCAGGCTGTAAGTAAGACAGGATGTGACAGGTCGCTCTGGGAAGTACGCTGTGTTTCAAGCCCACAGGGATAACTTTTCTCCTTTGAACGACTACGTGCGACGCACTTCCCAGAGAACCCAGCGCTCAGGCCTAGCCTTAAACTAATTTTGACACTGGACTAGCAATATTGAAGTATTTTGGCTTTCTAGAATCAGTTTAGAATAAGAGAAAGAGGAAAAAAGACACCTGAAATACTGTAGAAGGGGAAGCACAGAGTACTACAGTACAGAGCATTTCAGTGGTCCTCCGAATATTTTTAAATGCCTAAATAATCAAGTAATGTAATGTTTTGTGATGGAACGATAAAAACCGTTAATAAAATATACTCTTCCCAGTTGGAGCAGTACTGGTATTCGGTACTGCAGCTCTCAAGGGTTTACTTATGAGCTGCACATTTTACAATTTCTTATGGGACTAGTTAAAACAAGAAAGAGAACAGCTAAAGTAATAATCAGCTACTTTGTGATTTAAGTCACTTTGTGTAGCACATACAGGAATTAAAGCAGAGCTGCTTAGCACTCTGTTATACGTGAGCACTGCCATCACACTCAGTCCTGTACCTGCTGCACACAAACAAAAAGGTAGCCACAGTCCCAACGATTTTCCAGAGTCACAAAATTCTCACCTGAGGACAGAGAAGCCCTTGAGAGCACCCTGATCACGGGCAAAAGTGGCTGCATCTAGGCCAGGTCTCTGCCTGGAAGGCAGGACTGAAGGTAACCCATGTGGCAACAACAATTTGCAAGTAAGAGCTGACAGCGGAGTTAAGGCTGGGGGTGAGGCTGGACAGCCTGCGGCCGGAGCTGCTACCCCCGCACCCTCTCAGTTGCTTCACCAGGAACTGCCTGACGCTGATTTAAGCCACTGCCAAGTTACTTTCTTGGGGCAGATCTCTTATTCGGGGCACCTGCACATAGACACGATGTATTGACATATCTAGATCAAGCAGAGAACCTTGCAGGTTTGAATGCAGGGGTTTTCAGGTATAATCGTCCCCCACGTAAGTCCACACCACAAGCTGAAACACTATAAAAATCACATTTTTATCATAACAAGTACAACTTCAAGTGTCCAGACTTTCCCAGATAATGGTGTTTCTCTCCTTCTCTGTGCTTGCAGCGCATTCTGTTTTGCTTACTCTCCTGGGCTATGTGCCAGTAATAAGAAACAATCCAAATAGTTTGCTCAAAAATAATATCACTTACTCTTCCAAGACCTCTTTAAAAAAAAAAATTAAGAAAAAAAAACCAAACCACAAAAAACCTCCAAGAGGTGCTCAGAATTTGGCCCTTGGCCACAAAAGAAAGCATTTTGGAGCCAAATGTCCTCAGCTCTCAGTCATCTTTCTCTTTCAGTCTGACAAAAAAATCCAAATGCTTTCAAAAATAACTTTAAACCTCAAACTTTTTTTTTTTTTTTTTTTTAATGGGAAATTGGGAGTGCTCACCAGGCCAGACCATGTAAATAAATACATTCCTTGTTCCAACAGGCTCACGGTATCTTAGCAACAAGGGAAATACCAGATAAATATTGGTCAGGCAGTAACAGCAGAGGTAGGAAAGAAACCACCACACATACAGACACACTCT